GTTGCAACACCACCCACCCAATGGAGTGAAGGCTAAGCACGCTGCAGAGCCTGTGGCACGTTAGTCCTGTCTCAATTTGTCCTGCAAAGCTTGGTGGTTTCTTGTTGGCTTGCAGAGCAAGCTGTCCTCATCCTGCTTGTAAACATTGGCATTCCACTCCCTCATCAATGGCTTGGCATGAACAGCATGAGCTTCCATCTTTATCTACTGCCATGCTTTTTGGGGAGGGAGGCTGCGGGCTGGTGAAGGGACAGGGATGGGACCACAGGCACATGTGGAGGAGGAGGATTACAAAGATGATTAAAGGACTGGAGCTTCTCTCCTACAAGGAAAGGCTGAGAGGGTTGGGCCTGTTCAGCCTCCAGAGGAGACACTGAGAGGGGACCTCCCCCAGGTCTGTAGGGTCTGCAGGGAGGGGGCAGAGGATGGACCAGGCTCTGCTCAGGGGGGCCCAGCAATGGCACAAAAGGAATGGGCAGGAACTGATGCCCAGGAAGTTCCACCTGGACATGAGGAAGAACTTTTTTGCTGAGCAGTGACCGAGCACTGGAACAGGTTGCCCAGAGAGGGTGTGGAGTCTATTTTACCGAAGATATTCCAGAACTATCTGGACACAGTCCTGTGCCACATGCTCTGGGATAGTCCTGCTTGTACAGAAAGGTTGGGACGGGACAGATGACCCGCTGTGGTTCCTTCCAACCTGAACCACTCTTTGTTTCTGAGGCTTGACTTGCAGAGATTCTCAGGGCTCCTCAAGGGCACAGCCTCTGGCCCTCTCACCAGCAGCGAGCGTTTACCTTGGCTTGACCATACACATGGAATTCTCAAACTTTATAGCACATCTTACCCTTTCTCTGCATCTTTTTTTTACTATTATTTTTCCCCATGCACTGAGCACTGGTTCAGATAACATTTTTAAAATCTTGCAGTTTTGAGATTTCCCAGCATATACTGGCAGAGTGCTGCTATTTCCAAGTTCTCCCCTCAGGGCACACGGTCTCAGGCTGTGTCACTGCCAGACTTTGCTCGCTGAGCCAAAGACAATGTCATTGTGGATGGATGCAAAGGACTGCCTTCCTCATTTGGCAGATGAGAAACCCTGACCACTTTGAGTCACTTAAAGTATTAATGCCATCTCCAATAAATGCTTTGCTTCTATCTTTTTCTTTCTCTTCTTTATTCTGCTCAGTGATGTTGGTAACTGGTTTTCTTAAAAACGTCAGAAAGAAGGTGCTTGGGTTTTTCCTCGGGCATAAATATTTGCCCAATGGAGCACAAATCTACTGTCAGCTTCTTTCAGCCCAGGACTGCAGAGTTCCAGGACTTATAAATGATTTGAAAAATGTAAACCAGTCTTATCTGTCTGACTCAGCTCCCTATCCCTCCAACAAGAACACCGTGGCTAACAGAAACCTCTTGAGCTCAATTATATGGATATTGACATTTATTCAGCTGTGACGTTCACGGCTAGAGACAATAAGAGATTTTTTTCTTTTCCTTTTCCAGCATCACCTCAGCAATCCTGCTACCCACGGGGGAAACAGTAGCACGTGGCATTTTGCACTGAGCACCTATTGCAAACTTTGCTGTATTGGCTGACACTCTCTGGCAGCTGAACACGTCTCTGCTGCACCCGTGTCTGGCAGGCAGGGAGTTTCTGTAGTTACTTACTGCCCCAAGAAAACTTAAGCAGTCTGTCAATTATTTCTCTTTATAGTCAGATTTAGTGCCTGATGTGGAGCTGAATAGTCAACAGAATCACAGTGTATGAGCCAATTCATCTTGAACTGGCCTTGCTGTGGGGCTACATGGAAAAAAACCTCCCACTGGGCAAGTTTTTAAAGTATCAGTGCCCTTTGGCTCAGTGGGACAAGGAGGAAAGAGGAGAGGACATCGTGTTGCCCCCACTAGCACTGGGACAGGGCGGAATTCTGATCCCCCATAAGCAGGGGTCTGTAGGGGCACCCTTGCTGTCAGGAATAGATCTTTTTTCAGAGCTTGCCAAGGAGCAGGAGGAAAAACTTGGCAGACAGCAAGGCAAGAAGGCAAAAAGGGGAATTTTTTTGACTGGAGATCCAGGCAAGTGGCTTTTTCCCAGTCCCCTGCATTTTTATCACCTGGATACAGTTTACCCAAGAAATTGTGGATTTACCATTGTCTAGTGGAGGGTGTCCCTGCTTGTGGCAGGGGGGGTGGACTATATGATCTTTGAAGATCCCTTACAACCTAAACCATTCTGTAAGAACATGCTTAGACAACTAAGGAGATATTGGAGCTGAGTGAATAAAAACATTTCAAGAAGGTCCTGGTGAAGAAAATTGCCCACATCTTCCCCTTTCCAGAGTCCTTCTACAAAGATAAAATTGGACATCCATCAAAAAAAAAATGAGGGGGATTTAAACAAAATAATTTGAAGGCTCCTATCTTGTAACTTGGGAGTTATTGCACCATCTGTGAGCAAGCTCTAGGGTGCCTCACTGGGAGCACAGAGGTAGCCCAATCTTGCAAAACCCATGACTGCAAAGCATTTGACTAAAAAACTGAAACCTCGGGGAAAAAAAAAAAAAAATCTCTGTCCCTGCTTTTGCCTGGACGAACCAGAAAAGTGTGTCTGTCTTTTCAGGAGACGGCAGTGCTGCAGTTTCAGCTGAGCCTTTACAGGCTGCTACCAACTCCTTTGTTTCTCCTTTCAGTTTCCCACAAATACAATCTATAGCCGATGTCATGCTTTTCTTTTTACCAATATATTGCTGGGCTTTATCAGCAAGGCTTTTATTGCAGCTCTCCCCGCGGTGATTAAAGGTTAAAAAGGACCAGCCCCGAGCGTATCTGTGAGTGGGGCTTGTGTAATCGGGGAGCACTGCTGGTGCAGGGCTTCACTGACGTAACCGGCTGGGGAAAATTACCGAGACGCCTGCTGGGGGACAGAAGTGACTAACTCTCATCAGCAGAGCCCCAGCTTCTGAAGGAGCTGCTGCTAAGGCAATGGGCTAAAATAGACCTGGAGGGAAGCTGATTTCGAGCAGCAAGGGCCCTTTTTATTTATTTTTATAAAGAGCGCTCTGTGCGGATTGCGTGTGGAACTCTTTGTGTGCCCCTGTGGAAATCGGAGGAATAAACAAACCTGGAGGCGACTGCTAGAGCCTGACATCCTTTTGCTGGCATTTATCAGCCCCTGGCAGGATCCCCACGAGGATCCCAAGGGCAGCTGAGACCTGGCCAGACCGCAGGCTGTCCTGCTCCCAGTCCTGTGTTAGATAAGCAGAGCTTATCATCCTGCTCCTAAAAGGAGCGAAGTTCTGCGAGCTTGCGTAAGGAGACGGAGCCATCAGACGCAGGTCTCTCGGCTCCAGCTGGCTGCCGTGATTTTGGGGATGCTGAGTGCTGCCTGAGGCTGTGCAGCAGTGCCTGGCTGGAAGCCACGAGATCTCAAGGGTGAGAAGAGCCAGAGTAAAGCCCTGGTGAAAGCCGTGGGAGCCCATCCAGAGCCAGGGGATTCAGGGTTTGGCCCTTGATCTAATCCAGGGACAATCCCACTCACGTTGCACAGGCTGCACCTGCTCAGGGCTGGAGGAGGGAAAAGTTGGTTTTCTAGCCTTGCCCTGTGGCCTTTGTGCTTGGTGGTGGGCCAGGAGGGCCCTCCAGTGCTTCTCATGGGGCAGGGGGGAGGACCCAAAAAGTCCTTGGCTGAGAGCTCCTCCAGTATCAACCTCCAAAGCAGGGGTGTCCCCACAATGTGCCGACAAGCACAGCCAGAAATAAGGCACATTTCATCCCCTGGTCCTCACAGGGGGCCATGCCAGCAAAGTCTGAATCCATGTCATGACTCCCAGCCCCACACCTGATCCTTCCACTGTGTGACTTGTGGGCTACAGATGTGCAACAACACTTTCCTGTCCAACTCTGTGCGACTGAGAGAACCCATCTGGGCTCAGATAAATAGGAAATCAGACCTTGTCTCATCCCCTGCCAAGCTGGAAGCCAGTTACAGACACAGAGAAAAAGCCTCCTGTCTCGGTTTCCTCTGGAAAAGCACAAGGGGCTGGACATAAGGAAAGCAGCAAATCTGTGCTGCTGGAGCTAGTCACCATCAGGAAAAGGACTGCAGTTTATCCTGGCTGTGAGAGGTAGCACTGACCTATCTTGCTGTCACTGGTGAGGACAGAATGGCTGCATCAGTCTACCCAACAATTGGATGCCAGAACCAAGGGACACCCAAGTGTCTGATGTGGGACACACTTGTGCTAAAAGGGACCCCGCTGGCACAGCTGAAGCATCCTCTCTGCCAGACGTGAATTGCAAATGCAGGTGGGATGCAGTCACTGGGTATCCCTGGCAAAAGGTGGACAGAATGAGATTTGAGATTGGACAGCCAGCCCAGGAAAGCCTGGAAACATTTCCAAGGCTTCACAGTCTTTCTCCAGCTACTTAGGAGGCACAAAGCTTTTTCACAAACATTGTCTGTGGTGCAGGCCAGTGTAACAAACAGCCACTGTCTACCAAATCCTGTGCATAAACTACATTACTATCACCATATGAATGGAAGCTGTAGCTGTGTTTGTAGACTACTGGCTGCTGTAAATGTATCCCTGTAGGCTTTAAATCCATGCCTGGTTGTCTGATGATTGGTTTAACTGGTGCTAATTCCCTGGAAATGAATGGACCTACTCATCAAATGTTTCTCCCAATGAAATGTGCTTTTTCTCCCTCGGGCAAATCAAGTGCCCCGAGAGGGCAAGAAAAGCCCTGGGAAGCAAGGGTAGCTTAAGCAATAGCCATGAGTTTGTGGGTAGTCCTGGGGAGACAGGAGGTGTCTGTCACAAGCCCAAAAGCTGCACAGGTCCTGAGAAGCCCTGTCCCCTCTGTGCCCTGAATGGCACCAACCGTCAAAGCACCAAGAGAGACATGGAACTCTCCAGGTGGACCAGATCAAAAGAAAGTTATTTCCACCAGATCTATGGCTGTAGAGATACAGACTCTTTCTGTGCATCTCTGCCTTGCATTTGTGTTAATCTGATCTCCACGGGGGGACAGGGAGCATCCCCTGCATTCGTCACCATTCCATGTCCACAAGCAAGTAAGGCTGGAGGGAGACGTGGTCAAGGGATCACGGCCCTGCCCTCAATCCTACCACAACCATGCCATTCCAGAGAGGTGTTTTGCCTCTTCAGAGAGCACAGAGACTGGTTGAATCACAGCCAACATGAGGCCTCTTGCTGTCTGCCCATGCACAGCAGCTTGCTCCTGTTGATACACATGCAGCAAACATTCAGATACATATAATATCACAGAAAAACAGGGATTAAAAAGTAGCTTTGCTGGTGTTTCGTGGTAGCAAACGACACCAGCTTGTGCTCTGTGTTGTAAAAGGCTCTGAAAGGTGTATTCACGGGAAGGCAGTGTGGGAAGCATGTGTCATGGTGCCATGTGGTGCCTGAGTCAAGGTTTAATTGCTGGGGCAACTCCCTGACGTGAAACTGAAGTAGACACGACTGAAAACTGGAAGTCAGAGTAATTGTCTTTCCCCTCTTTATAACTGAATGTTTTTTTATATGCAGTTTTAACCCACGTGCTGCCAGGAACGTGCACCTCCACAAGGAGGTGGAGAATTGGTGCTCCACAGGAGTGTCAGCCAATCCTGAGGGTATCTAAATCTGCCCAGAGATAAATGTTTAGGCAGTGGCTGATTACATTTTGTTATATTGACTAGACAAAGACTCAGAATTAGCGTGGGGAGGGAAGTACTGCTCTGCTACAGTCCTTCTGCATGACCTTGTGCTGGTCACATAACTCACTGTATCTGATTTTCTGGAATAACACCACCCATCACCCAGATCTGCTGCAAGCTAACTTGGTAATTACTAACAGGGTGCTTTAGGAAGCTGTGCTAGTGTTCTAGGAAGAAACCACTGTTGAAATTTTTTCACAGCTGAGCACCTCAGGCTGGCTGGAAATGGTTCAGGACAAGGAAAATGGACTTTCACAATGTGGGGGCCCCTTTAGGGCACAGGATTTGAGGTGACTCAATAGCGAAGAAAGGATTTGTTTGGTGAGAGAACACAGGTGTGCTGAAAAAGTGCTGTGATTGCTTCCTTCAAAACAGGCAGAAAGAGATTGCCATGTATTTACTGTCTCTAACGTCAGTCCTTGGACACCTCAGGGGTGTTCCCTCACAGCCCACAAATTCTCATCCATGCACCCCGATGACTGATGTATGATCTGCTCTGCAGAGGAAATATATATTAGAAGATAGAAAGATACAATTCATAAGAGCAAAAATCTTCACCACTGTGTTTCTTTTTTTACAAGATCAGAGTCCTCTTGGGGGCAATGTGATGAGAACCAAAAAGATGGGGTTTTTAAGGGGGATCACACTCCATCCTTCTCTCAAGCAAGTGGCTTGGAGGCATGTTTTATGAGGGTAAAAGGAGTTGGAAGCACAAATTTTAGCACAACCCTCATCCACCCACCTCTGCCAGCACCCACCTCTTTTGCTGTAGAGTCTGTGCACTGTACTTGGTGTGGTTGATTTTTCCCAGGCTGCAATTGAAAGTCACCTTAGTGACTTATCCAGCTCAGAGCTTGAAGAAACTCTGTCTCTCAGCTTCCCACAGCGTAACAAGATAGAGCAACTGGCTCTAAGTAACTCCCAAACAAGTTCAGGAGGGCCAAAATAGCTGAAATGGATAGCACAGAGTTCATTTCCCAGCAGTATTAGTCATCTATTGCTTTTCCTCTGTTTCCCTACCTTCTTTGCACTCGGATACACAAGCAAAGTCTGTCATAAAAAAGTTTCAGAGCTCCAAAATGGGGAAGAGAATGAAGGCAGATTTTTAACCTTGCTTAAAGTTTTAAAGCCACCTCCGTTGTGCCGTCTGAAGGAGTACTAAGTGTGGGGGGAAAAAATAAATATAATATTTCAAAAACATTCTGAACTGTAAGAATATTACACCCATAAAAATTCCAGCCCGAGCTTATAAAACTTTAACAGTGGTAACATTAAAAATGCAGAGGGGACCAACAGAGAGCAAAAGGGAGAGCAGTAAAGAAAAGAAGAACGTGGCAGGAGGAAATACACAAAAATATGTGGCTTAGCTCAGGTACTTTAGGCATTGGCTCAGCATGAACCAAATACTTTGTCACTCCAACACGAACTTTTTGTCAGCAAAAAGTTTGGGGTAAAAGGAAATGGAAGCAAATGCCTGGGATTTGTGAGCTGAGAGAAGTGGAGATAAGGAGCACATCAAATCTAGGGGACAAGGATATCTCCAACCTGGTGTGCAGGAGGAACAACCATTTGGAACTGCAAGGCTGATAATTATGGCTTTTTGTGAAGCCACCAGGCCAGTGCCTGTGGAAGGGGACAGGAGAAGAGTTGACATCATAGCTGGGAACAGGGAAGGCAAAGGGATTGGTGGAACATGGTGGGAGTAGCCATACACCAGTTCATCTGGCCCCTGCAGGATAAAGGTATGAGGGCAAACTCTGCAGGAAGGAGACAAGGCAGTGCATGATAAATGGAACAAAGGAAAGGATAAGTTTCCCAGCTGTATAGTCTGTACCTGCCTTGCTCGAGTCAGGACAGAGGGGAGACCAGGTCTGCCTGATTCCTTGTTGCCAGGCAGGGATGTGCTCATTAAGATGGGGCATCCCTGAAAGAAATTTAGTCTGGGTCAAGACCCAGCCAATGAGTAGAAAAAAGGCCGTGTAGAAAAGGGAATTAAAATCTGGCAGTGAGCTCCCGGTGGAGTTCATCGAGGAGCTGTCTTGGACACTATCTTAATCCTTATTTTCTCTAAATGACCCTAGTGGAGAAGGCAGGAATGACGTGAAGTTGGGAGTCACTGCTGGTACTGATAAGGGTTGGAATAGTGCGTAGGAGGAGCTGGTTGCCCTTAAGGGTGAGACTGAGACAAATGGGAGGTAATTTAGCAGTAAAAAATGCAGTGCCATGTACTTGGACACAGCAAGGAGGAATTTCTGCTGTATCCTGGCAGCTTATCCACAAAGGAGCAGAGATAGATCGCTCAGCCATAGGATGGCTGTGAGCCACGAGGAAAGGCAAATGCAAATGGAATCAGTATTTCCAGGAGGGGCTGGAGAGAGCAGTGCCAGGGGATGAGGACCCATGGAGACCTCAGCAGTGCTTGGGACTGTGCTGGAGCTGCTGGAGACATCTCCTTGTGCCAGCTCAGGCCTTGGCCCTGCGCCCTGTGATGGACCCCAGCAGCTCCCTGCAGCCTCGGGGGCTCCGTGGGCATGTGGCCACTCTCCATAACCACTTCTTTCTTTCCAACATGCCCACTAAAATTGGAGACATGAGTGATTTAAGCTTGAGGATAATGCTGGCCGTTGAGCAAATGCCTCTGAACTATTCCTGACTGTGCTCAGACGAGACGTGACAGCACTAATGACTGCTGGAGGAATGGAATGCTGCAAAGGCTTTCCTGCAGGAATCCTAGCAGCAAAGCGCTGCCCAATTTTAAACTAGAGCTTTGCAGGCCAATAAAGGCAGTTGCATAACATGACTATGGGTGACAGAAGAAGATGTGACACAACGACCCAGGAGATCCTGTCCAGTCCCATGATTTTAAACTTGTTATCTGTAGGGAGAGCTACAGACATTGATAGAACAGTGGCATCCAGCTAGACACACTGGTATTAAATCTGCACATGAATCATGGCCAGTACTTGGGGGCAAATAAACAAGGTATGGTTTAGTTCAGACTTGTCTTTGGAAAGCCGCCTTCATGACCTGGGAATTTAGAGTCTCTGGGGTGAGGGAAGTAAAGGAAGCCAAGATAGACAAAGCCACTGCATCAAAATGCCTCCTTTGAAGAGCAGTGTAGATCTCTGTTGAGCTCCTAAAGAGCAGGACAGACACAGCTCTTATCTGTGCCAGCTGTCCCAGAGGCTTGAAGAGACTTCTAGAAAGGACTAGAGATCCCCAAACCAGCCTGTACTCTTAATCCAATGCATTAATCATACAAATAGGCAACAAACGAAGTTATAAAAAGAATCTACCTGGATACCACCTTCTCTTATAGTCTGGAAAACCACAAATGTTTCTATCACACCCTTTTTAACCAAAATGACCAAAGGTCATGACCAAAAGGACAGTGACCAGGTATCACTACATGCCCCGGGCATGGGTTTGGAGGGCCAAGGCAAGGGCAAGTAGGGTGGTGACCTCTCAGGGTCAGTGCTGGCTGAAAGGTCCAGGCAGGACCATAGCAAGGGGAACAAATTCAGGGCTTTGGTGCATCTCTGGTATCCCCAGAGTTGGGCTTCAGGGGCAAGGATAACTCATAAAGCAACATTCATTTTGACTCCTGCAGAGATCAGGTCAGGCTGGAATACAGGAACAAGAAGCAGGATAACTTCTTAGACCCTCTGTCTAGCACTAAACCTAAAATGCAGGTGCCTGCTGAACATCAAAGTACCCACAGCACTCCATCCTGCAGCAGCTGGGAAGATGCAATGACCTCCAGTGAAAAGATGCAGACTAATTCCACTCTCTTTGACCCTTTTAGAGGAAATTGTTTCTCTCTCTCAAGAGAGGAGGGTTCAATTTAAAACACAGTGGCTGACTCGCTCTGGCCTGTAAATTGCTTTTAAAGCACCAGTCCCGTGAGAATCCCCCACTTCAGTTCACCTCCTGCCCTGCCCGGTGCAAGGCAGATTTCAGCTCCTCGCAGACCAACCTGGCAGCCTAAGTAACACTCTGTTCCTCAGTTTATCCTCTGCCAGACAAAAGAAAATCGACCCCCTTGATCCTCGCTCAGGAAATGGAAGTGGTTCTGAATGAACTCCACGTGTGAACAGGCTCTGGCCCTGCTAAACTCAGCAGTAGGAAGCAGTAATTTCCTCAGTAGCTGGCTCCTCTCTTCCCGTGCCAGAAGGACTCTCACAGCATGGGGTGGGCTGGCTTGGGGAATGGGTCAGGGTCACCCCCGGCTCAGCTGGAGAGCTGTAAAGCACTGTACTGTGGATCCATGGTGGCTGGGTTGTGGATCTGGGAGCTGGCCTCTTGCTCACACTGGGGGAACCTGCAAGCTGGGAGGTGGCACCAAGTGCTGGTGAGCCAGACCTGGAACTTTCTGTTGAAGGGTATTTACTGATTTTGACTACACTTTGTTTTTTCAGTCCAGGTGGGCTTTGGCCATCCCTCAGGAAGGCTGATGATCACCTGCTGAGAGCCTCTGCATGGAGTGTGGGACCCTAAGACATGAGCAGGGACAAAATCTTTGTTCCCCCGCATCCTGAGCAAAGGAAAACTGCCTTTTAAGGGGGAGAGGCTGGCCCAGAGTCTGGCTCTTCCCAGCTTGGCACAGCCCGTTTTGTTCATCCTAAGCTGTGGCTTGAAGGATGGGGACGAGCTGGGTGGTGGTAACGGGGAGAACCAAAAACTCAGGTACTTTATTTTTTCCTGGGGGAGCAAAATATGTGGGAGATCAACCTCCTGCCAGCCAAAGTACAGACTTCTCAGATGCTCCTGCAAAGCCATCAGGCGTCAGCAAGTGAAAGAGCTCCCCAGGATGACGAGATAATGTGTCTGAGTCCAACCAGACCTGCCAAGGTCAGGGGGTAGCGTGGTGTGCCCCAGCCTGTGTTCCCTGGGAAGGCCTTGGATTTCACTGTTAATCAGCACAGAGTGGGTGGCATAGAATAAGAGATTTCCAAAGGTCTCTTTTCCAGAGACCTTTAAGATCATCAAGTCTAACTGCTAACCCAGCACTGCCAAGTCCACCACTAAACCATGCCCCTAAGTGCCACATCTATGTGTTTCTTTGAACACTTTCAGGGATGGTGATTCCACCTCTTCCCTGAGGAGCCCGTTCCAATGCTTGACCACACATTTGGTGAAGAAGTTTTTCCTAATAACTAATCTAAACAACCCCTGACACAACTTCAGGCTGTTCCCTCTTGTCTTTCACTTGTTACTCGGGGGAAGAGGCCGACTCCCACTTTGCTACAACCTCCTTTCAGTGGTTGTTGTAGTTCTAGAGAGCAATAAGGTCTCCCCTGAGCCTCCTTTTCTCCAGATTAAACACCCCCAGCTCCCTCAGCCACTCCTCACCAGACTTGTGCTCCAGACCCTTCACCAGCTTCCTTGTCCATCTTTGGACACCCTCCAGCAAACCCTGGAGTATGTCAGACCCTCCCTGGGCTGTAAGCCCCCACCTTTGGGGTAGGAGCCCCATTCCTTCAGACAGAGTGGGGGTCACTTAGCTCATGCAGCATAGAGGACGAGTGACCTGCCAGCGGGTGTCTTGTCCTTTGCATGTTCATTCTGTGCCCTCCCAGCCACGACTTTCATAAACACTGCTCTCTGCTCTTCCTTCTTGGGCTAGGAACTTAAGCACTGGGGTGGTTTCACTTTCATTCATGGGGAATGCCTTCAACCTGCAGGTGATTCTAGGAGGGCTTGGGCACCCTCTGAGAGTGTGGACTCCCGACCCCTCTTCCACTTTACATTCGACTTGGACCCACATGACCTCCTGATACAAGAGGAAAAAAAATCCATGTAGCTGCACTAGGCCCTCTCTGAAATAAGCTGGTCAGTCAGTCTAAAGAAATCCAATTTGTTTGGCTTGTCAGAGGGAGGAAAGTCTGACCATGGCTGAGGTGATGTGACCATGGCTGACAACCCCCCCCAGGAAGAGCTCTGTGCCCAGCGGATCCATCGGGACGGTGAGAAGAAGCACGACAGGATGCCATGGCTGCATGTGTGCCCAGGCAGGCCAGCTCAGATTGGGAATAAATGCATGTATTCACTTCATAGGCATAATTAACCACTTCAGCAGTTTACCCAGGGATACAGCGCAGTGCCTTGCAGCCTTTAAAGTCAGGACTGACTGCCTTTCCCAGAGATTTATTAGATCTCCGAAGAAAGTCCTGGGCTTGACGCACAAATCACGCTCTGTGCTGTATCAGGGGTCAGGCTATCCGACTGTAATGACTCCTTCTAGCCTTGAAATTTATGGCCAGTGTCAGAGGGACAAATAACTCCTCCAGCAGTGCCTGCTGGAGGAGAGAGAGCTCCCAAGGCATGACCATCTTCAAGGAGAGAGTGGCAGAAGCACTGCCCAGGTGGCCCCGTCTGTCCTGTGGCCTTTGATGCTGTGCTGGGTGACAAAACTCTGGCAACCCAAAACTCTGATTGAAACCAGGGAGCTGTCAGAAGAAAAGGGCTGAAAAATGTTCTGCTTATCTTTCAGGCAGATTTTGTTTTGCAAATGGGGTTTAAACAGAAAAAAAGGAGAAGTCTTCTGCCAATCCTGTTTTAAGGCTTTCACAGCAAAAGGATCTGTGGGTCTCAGCAGATGTCCTATGCCTTAGGATAGCACAGTGAGATTGGAGGG